GGAGCACACCCAAGAAAGTGCAAATGATCGCGCTGGTCCAGTACAGTACCACCGCTACCAGACTGAAACCACTGCTTCTGCCGATTAAACTGTCCTCTCCATACGTGCTGAAGGGCTGTTTGTTCGTATCTCACTCTCCTCTGGCAACTGTACTCAGAATAATTCTGTTTTTTCGTAATGGGAGCGTTAATAATACCCACTGCCGCCCCAACGCCACTGCGAAACTGATAAGTCTTCTCCTTTAGCGTCGGGGCTAATACTTCCCTGATGTCTCACTCTGGTGTGGCAACTGCATTTTCTTCTTGTTAATTGCAAAGTGCGATTTAACATGCCCCCGCTGCTGAATAGAATCGGTCTCTCCGTAGGTGCCGAGATCCTATTTCAAGTTCAGGTTTGTTGTCGTTAAACTCATATACAGGTATATCCCCACCTCGCAACCTTTGAATTCTGCTCTCCTTACTGTCCCCCCCAAGCCCCGTCTACATTGTAGGGGTGACAGGGCCTTCTCCTTTTATGCCCCCTAGCTCTGGAACTCTCTGCCCAAGGATATCAGAGAGTCACCTTCTCTAAACTCCTTCAAATCCAGACTCCAAACCCTCTTCTTTACTGAACTGGTTCCATTCTTCACCCCTCTGTTTTTCTTATCACCACCATCCACGGTCTCCTCTGTGTATTGTCATTGTGTTTTATCTGGTGTGTTCTTCTTATTTATTGTTGTTGTCATCCTGTAAAGAGCTGTGAGGAGCCACCTTTAAAGGCGCTATATAAAATAGTTTATTATTATAGTATAAGGTATAACGCAATGCTATTTAGCTAGCTCTCCGACGATAAGTGGTACAAAAACAACAACAATACAATTGTATAATAACAGGCAGTGTGTGAAACAACAGCAGGTAATGTGCGAAACAACATCAGATGTGCAAAAACACGTATCAACAGGATGAGATATAATAGAAAAATTATGGAGAGTGAGCTTCTTGACGTGTGAGGTGGAGGTAGATTTCAGTGTGTGTTTGAGTTTTCTTGTAAGAGAGAAGGCACTGTGAGGGTTCAGGTCGTAGGTGAGAGAGGCTGGGAGTTTAACAGTTTGATAGTGCAGGGGTCGAAACTGTCTCCGAGTCTGGTAGTCCGGGCCCGAATGCTCTGGGACCGTGTTCCAGAGGGTAGAGGGTCAAACAGTCTGTAGCTGGGGTGTGTGCGGTCTTTGATGATGCTTAGAGCTTTC